TTTGATTTGACACTAAAGAGAGCGCATTTGCTTCTTTCTAGCCTCGCATGAAATTTCCACACAAATATGTAGAAAACTAAGTCACTGACAACTCCTAAATCATTGCTAAGTGAGCACCTGATCCAGCTAGTCCAGCCAGTATGGTTACCATTAACCTTTAACTCCTGACCTCTGACACCTGACAGTCAGACTTCAACATTATAATAACTAAGCCAGACGCAGGTGTGTGTGGCAGCGCGGTCTCTAAGCCAGACTTAATACTGGGGTGATGTGATGCCCTGTGGTTCCTTTTTTTCAAACCATTGCTACCATTCAGGCAATGCACGAAGCTATCTGGTCCAAGATTCCAACCGTCCTCCAGCCAGTCGATCTGCTTCCCTCATTAGCGACTCAGGCTGCAACCCCAAGCTCAATGTGGAGGACAGATTCCCTTGAGAGCCGGAGCCCGGACTTTGCGGTAACGCACGGGGCACACCTGCTACGCATATTCCAGTGGAAACAAGCCAAAGAAGTTCAATATCAACCTGACCTCTCCTGTTCTGTGGCTGAAACCTCAAGTACTGCCGTCCAAGAATGTGAGACTAAATCAAGATGCAAAGGCACGAATGCTTTCAAGTTTGCAGTCGCTATTTCTGTGTCTCTATTTATGTCATTTGGCCCTTTTCTCTTGAGTATCTGTCATCCCCATCTCTCTTTTCCTCCTCTCTATCAGTGGCTTACTGTAAACAGTGTTAAGAAGCATGACTCATACGGCTGTAATGTAATAGGAGGAGCGTTGCTAGAGGTCAGAATAAAGACTGTAAAGCTTTGAAGAAGAAAAAATAAAGAGCAGCAACTAAGCTACACACAGGGGAGTTCGCAATCTGCTAAGATACTTATTTGACATGATTGTTATTAATTTCACAAACTAAATGACCTGCATCAGAGGATAGGAAATCAATGGGAGGCTCCCGAGTCCATGTTATTGGTTTTGTAATAGCCAGACGAATCATTTGTGGTGTCATATCTGTAAAAGCATTACTCATGGTTTTCCAAGAATGGTCCCTACCCGCAAAAATAAATGTAAGCACCCACAGACGAGCACACACTGAAACACATGTGCGCACCAGCACTCTAATGGGTCAGTGTTTTTACAGCTGGTACCAGCCAAGAAGTCAGTGCAAACAGTGACATGGACCATCACTGAGTGTGTGTGTGTAGCCCGGGGTGGTACATGCACAACACTCTCACACACAAACATGAATTGTAGTGTTTTGTGAAGGATTAACCCCTATTATCCACTGAAGTTATACGACTTATTGTCTTAACTGTTTAAACACGACTTGCTGGTAGTGTTCACCACTTAAACAATCTATATAGCAAAACATAAGCTGGATGATACCTGGGCCAATCTGCAGCATGCCTGACACTCAAGCATGGATTTCAGGTTATTTCACCATAATATTAATGCGCTCGTATATTTTCCAAAACTGTATTTGATCCTGCTCCAGATTTGTGGAACAGGGAGTGTATTTTCAGAGTGCTGGTTTCCCCATCTGTGTGACCACAGTGCTGGGCTGCTCTCCCTGCATCTTTCTGCCCACTGTTCCCACGCCTCTTTCTGGGCTAAATACATATTTAGGGAAATACTGAGTAGCAAATCATATACTCTGTCAGTGCACCCCAAACCCAATACTAGCAGTATAACCTTTATAGAGCAGAAAAACTGAATGTTGCTTTTTGTTCGTACCAGACCAAATCTACAGTTTTCTATCCAAGTACATTATTTTTGCTCTCTTTGACTACGTTTTTTGCAATAATTATTCACAGTCAAACCATAAAGCAACCGCAATAGTGGTGCTGATAGTGCTACCAGCTATGCTCAACAACTAATGACCCTCCAGTCAACAGTTTGGGTATCTAACTAATGGGCTACAACAGCCTCTGTGGAAAACAACTACAAAGTCTGAGAACTGTAAAAAAAAAAACACTTGAATGGAGTTACACTTGGAAAACCGTCCAGCCGGCCAGACCAAAGTTTAACAGGCATCTGTGTGCCAGTCATGAAGATCAATGATTTCATAGCCACTTCCACTGTCCATTAGTAAAGCTACTGCCCTGCACTTTAAAACGCCCCACAGAACTATCAATACAAATTATACCAGGAAGAGCTCACTCATGCTATTTCCTTGTGAGGAGAAATGAATGGCAAATGGATTCCTCTGTATAGCTGTATTGTGCGCAGAGTTTAACCAGTGCTGTGGAGCCATTTGAACACATGCAGGCTAAATTGGTTTCAGGGTCTGTGTGTGTGTGTGTGCATGCGAATGTGCTCGGGCCAGTGTGTGCACGAGTAATGAATAAGATCCTGGCACATCACAACTGGGTTCCTCTAATGCACTCCCTGTAGACCAGAAGAAATAAACAGATAAAGATGAAGTGGACGTGAATGCAATGGCAAAGTTTTAAAAAAAAAAAAGAGAGAAAGAGCCAAAAGCGAGACCGAGCATGAGAGGGCAAGAGGAGAGGAGAGGAGGGAGGGAGTTTTCAGTTTTGTTATTGGAGCCGTAGAAGTCATTTCTGTCTTAAAGAGTTCCAGATGTGGGTCAGCCCCTGAGAAAGAGAAAGAGTTAGAAGGACGAAGAGAAATCAAGTGAGAGGGAGGAGTTCTATCAGACTGTGCCATTCCATATGATCAGTAGTCTACCATTCTGGTTAGAGAGAGGAAAAGGGATCGTTGCTTTTTGTTGGAAGGTGGTGGTGGGGGGAGAAACGGCAGCAGGGGGTTGCTTAAAGCCACTTTCAGGGTGTGGGGTGTCAGGTGGTGAGGTGGTAGAGGGGCATGTGGCTTCCACAGCCCAGTCTAGGGCCTATAAAAAGCTAGGGTGGTCAGAATAATAGTCTGTTGTTATTACACACACACACCACACATACTGGTATTTCTCAAAAACCAGTGACTGAATTCACCAAAATAGGCCCAACCAAAAAGACATCTGGTTAAATGCTGGGACAAAAGCTGCTCTTTAGCTTGCAATCAAATAGGTCCAACTCAAATATATTGCCAGATAACAGGCAGGTCCAGATTGTTGCACACACACACACACTTGCAGGTTTAAATGGAGTGATGATAAAACCAGTGGAAGCTGCACAGAATTTGAAATGTTAAGGTATCAGTGAGTAAGTGTGTGCATGCATGTGGGCAAGTATTGTTTGTTAAATGCTGACTGATCTCAGACCTTCACAAATTTGTCAGCGTTACAGCTCTTCTAAGTCATCATTCTGGCACTTAAAAAAAAAAAAAAGCTAAAATGAGAAACGTCCAAACAAGCTCACTCATGCTTGCATTGCTTGGAGGATGAACTGCTATATTGCACTCCTTACTGACCTCCCCCAAAAAAGACCATTTGTAACTTATTCAAAACGCCACCGACAAGCAAAGAGAACACATCATTTTAATTCTGAGATCTTTTGCACTGGCTCTCAGTTAAATATGGAACTGAAATAAAGGCCCTACTTATTCTCTACAAGTCTCTCAATGGTCAGGGCCCAAAATATATCAGAGATATGTTTACTGAGTACAAGCACGGAAGGCTGCTCAGATCTGCAGGGACTGGTCAGTTGGTGGTGCCCATAGTTTAAACCAAACACAGTGGAATGGCTTTTTGCTGGAATCTGCTCCCCTTGGAACTCAGATATAACGCCACAGTAGCCATAACTTTAAGCTAAAGAGCATTTCATTTCCCAGCATTTTTAATTATTGTGCCACTTTTAGGTCATTTTAATTCTGCTTTAAACCTGTCCAGACCTTTTATTTTGTACTCATTTTATGCTGTTTTCCTGTTAAACATTTCAGTAGCACTTTGAATTCCCTTTGCATGTCCAAATCTTCTTCACACGCATGCCATACTTGCACAGAAAGGTGCTCCTGCATGATAACGTCTTAACTCAATTCAGCAGTGACGCTTTTAATTGCAGCCTGTCTCCAGTTATTTTCTGTCTCTCTAGCTCGCTCTCTGATTTGTGTATAATGTACATTGGTGTGTGTGTGTCTCCAGCATTTGTTTTCACTCCCTCTGTGTTGGGCTAAGCTGCACGATCACACAACAAAAGGCCATTGTGCTGCAGTAAAAAGCTCTGCTCCAGGGAGCTGGTAGTGGGCCACAAACAAAGGCTGGGTACATTGTCCCAACACAAGCTCATGAATCAACTCAACACTGGGCTGCCAAAAGAGTCATGGAAAGAGCGCTATGAGTATACTAGGGTCTGACAAAGAGGCCAGAGAAAAAGAGCTGATTGAGGAGGGATGTGAGGGAGGAGGAAACAAATGGACAGGGAGCAGGATGCACAGCTGGAGCTGGAAGAGAGAGGGGAGGCAGGGAGATGTAAGATATGTGCGGATGGTGGTGGGCGAAAGGGATCAGTCCGGCAGGAGGAGGAGAGGAGCACAGGATGAGGAAATGGAAGAAAAGGAGGACTGTAAAGGAGTGCAAGCCAACACAGCAAGAGGCTGAGAGGTGAAGTCAGCGTAAACACAGAGCAGTGTCAACAGACTAGCCTCCTGCCTGGCTTCTAAAGGCTCTCTGCAGAGAAAAAAAAAACGTGAGCACTTAATTTTGCAACTGACCTCAGAGAGTGAAGAATTTAGCATCAACTTTCAACTGTACAACACAGAATCCACTTGGTCTGAGAGAAAATACCTTCTTTGTTCATATCAGATGTTATTTTCCCATTCTGACAAGTCAAATCAGCAACAAATCCATCTAATGGTCATGCACAAAGAGCTGCTATTGTATCCAGCAGCCGGCCACAGTTCACCTTTTCCACTGTGAGAGAGTGGAAAGTTGTGACCAGCACTCAGGAAGGAGAGTGTGTGACAGAAAGAAAAAAAAAGTTTGGGGTGAAATCTGACATGCATTACCACACAGCATAACATTCACTTAAACCTGTCAATTTTCCCACAAGAACAAGCAGCCACTTTGTTGATGTCAGAGCACTGAGAGGAAACTTTGACATATATTTACCATTGGCGTTCTTCCCGCAGATCAGGTGCTCATAGTGCTGCAGGACTCCCCACAGCTCCGCGTCATTGTTCACCACCCCCTCCAGGGCCTCTGCACTCACCGGGGCGCACCCTGACCCCGAATCCGGCCCCGAATGACCCCTCTCGGCCATCAGCACCCGGGCTCCTATCTCCTCCACCAGAGCTTCCATGCACGCGGTCATGCATATTGCTGCGTACTCGTGGATGCGCACGGAGATGCGGGTGTCCACCATCCAGCGGAAGAAGCGCCCCACGGAGAAGGAGAGGCCGCAGCGGGCGGACTTGCCCTTCCTCAGCAGCTCACCCGCGCTCATGCTGTACATGGAGATAGCCTTGACCGTGGCGGAGACGCAGTAGTCGGCCAGAGCCCAGCTGAGCACCAGCCTCATGGCGCTCTGCACCTCGAAGCGTGTGCAGCGGCAGTGCATGACACTGAGCCGCTGAGCCTCTCTGGAGATGCGGATCAGAGCCCTGCGGAGGAGAGCGGACAGCCGCCTCACAGCCTCCGGGGAGAACACAGGTGTGGGCCCCCATTTCATGCTCCCACTCTCGGCCACTTTGCGCAGGATCCGGGCCACCTCCTCCTCCGTCCAGGGGAACTCTTCCAGCTCAGGTAAGCGGGGGCACTTGGAGAAGATGTCCTCCGGGTCTTCGGGCAGGACAGTGTTGACGGTGTCCCAGCTGTTGTTCCTGCTGTTCATGGAGCCGGAGTAGTACCACCAGTTCCCCCGGTGAGGGGCCGTCATGAAGGCCTGCGAGTTGGACTTGGAGGAGGACAGGCTGAGGGATTTGCAGGAGTCCCCCGCCCCGTAGCCGGAGTCCAGCGTCAGGTCCTCCAGGGTTTTCATGTGGACATTGCTCAAACCAGCCATTATTGTCCAACTGGCTGCTGCTGCTGCGGGGAAACTTTAGACGTAAACCTGGTCGGCGGTTTACCTGGAAGTCGGTGAAGCAGCCGTCGAGCTGGATGAACTGGTTACGCGCACTTGTCTGACATGCTGCCGAGTGGAGCTCAGTGCAAGGACGGCGGCGAAATACCACAAAGCAGATAAAAATCTCACGAGATGAAATTTAAAAATAACCAAACAGGACAGTGTGGAAAGCTGAAGTGGCTCCGGGCTCACCTTTCACCCTCCGGCCAGCACTGGGATTTAAACTTCCCTCCAGCGAGCAAAAGTCTTTAAAAAGTCGACGAAAATGTCTCCGACCTCTTTGAGTTCAGCCTGACACACGTACAAAAAGCTCCGTGTTGTGTCTCAGTGAAGGGAAAATTGTTGTTGTTTCTTTTTTTTTTTTAAATCGGTGGAAAAGTCCGAGTTCACTTCATCGCTCTCTTCTCACGTCGCCTCGTCCTGAGCAGCCTGCCGCGAGAGACTCAGCTACAGATGTGCGCGAGGAGGGACCTCTGCTGAATGACAACACGGAAGCGGTTGACGGACCAATCAGGAGACGGATGGCTTTTGCGACAGCCAATCAGAGCCCAGTCCAAAGCTTTTCCCCAACTTGGAGAGAAGTAAACTTTGTTTTGCCCCAAATGAGTATCAAACAAAGTCCTTTAACATGTGTGACCTACATAAGGCGTTCATATCTCCAGCTGTGTTGTGATTGCAATTCAAAATGACTATGATTTTAACTACAATTTGAGATTTAAATGTAATATTGAGAAGCTCAGTATAATCAACAACATGTTTACTAAATGATCCACAAATTCATGGCTGGTTCTCCATGCATGATTAGAGTCTGGGAAAATTCCTCTGCTTTAGTTACCTGAACCAAAATGCAAATCAGCCAGACACAAGTTATCATCTCACGTTTACTCACAGGAACTTGGCTCGCTGCCTGCGCATTAGCTAATCTCACCTGCAGCCTGTAACAGAAACTGGCTCTGCAAAGCCGTTGGCAATGATTTAAGAGGTGGAGCAGTGTTTACTTTGATTTGATGAGGCTTAGGGTTTTCATTGAAAAGTGCCTTTTAAGAGCGTATTTTGAATTACAAGGAAGAGAGGAGTGTTGAAATGGCTTAAATGAGAATAAATAAAAACTCTTCCTCCATTTTTATCATTCATGTTCAGCTGAGTAATGGTGTGCCGGTTAACTAGCCGTCCACTTTATGCTCATTCAGTATGAATCCAGCAAAAAAATAAAGTGGCAGCTCTCGCTTTTACAAACAAAGTCTGAGAAAATCCTCTTGCGAAATGTTTGAATCATCACGCAGCTCTGATGGTAATTCGGGGTTAAGTGCCGTAACATGCTTGAGGTGAAATAAAGCAAACATGTCGAAGAGGCCTGTGACTACCTGCTTCTCATCACTGCACACTTACACAGACAGGTAGGGTGTGTCTCCACAATACCTAAAGTCCAGCTCTGTTACATAATGGGGCCGAACATGTAACTCGCCGTACCTGTGAGGCTGCAACAGTTCATGAAAGTGATGAATGTTTTCTTGCATGTATGCAGACATTACAGGACACACTACGTATGTATTCAAAGTGGAAAAACTGACTCACAGACCCAGGTTCCTGAATCACTCAGTCAGGGGAACTGAGCAGGGAGTCAACCTTTCAGTCCAGTTCGCCTCCCCCCTTCCCTTTCTGGTGCTGTTAGTCAAAGCAGAAGACACACAGCTTGTATGTAGGGGGGAATCACAGGAGGTTAGCGCTTGCCTCATGCAGACCTCATGGTGTGGACACTATTACCTCATGGCCTCTCTGTGTGTGTGTGCAAGGCAGGCGTGAAGCCAGCCCACCACCAAGAACAAAGTGGTACACTGGTAGGGGGGGGGAGGACCAACAACTCTGCAAATGTGATCCAACAACATGTCAGCTCTGTGGGGAATGTAAAATGTTAGTTTCATAATGTTTGCTTTTCTCCCAGCATTAGTCATAAAACACAATGAAAGTGATGTTAGAGGAACTGAACTCATAATGGGTAAATAAATGTCAGCAGCAGAGAGAAAACAGAGAGTTGTGGAGGGTTTTGACAAGATGCCATGTTTACTTGTGTAGTTTTGTAGCGAGGAATAAAAGTGCACAGGAGACTGCTTAAATCTGTCAAAATACACGTTAAGTAGTTTTTAGGTATAGCCTGAATATGTCCTAATTCTACTATTCTACAGTATATTTACAACAAAAACACCTCAAGAATTAGGTTCAACAGGTTGACAGAAAGTTTTGAATCACACATTTCTGGCAGGCTGTGTAGTGAATTAAATGGAATTCATAGAAACCTATTCAGCTTCTTCTTGTGTATATATGCTTTATGAAGTCACCTGGTTTACATGTTCAGAATGAGGTACACACACGTTTGCATAGAGGAAGTGATCTGAGACACCGAGTGTTTGATATGTATGCATGTGTAGGAGGGGGACTTTGAAACCCGTGAGTGTCTACTCATTTACATTATGTTCCCCTCTATGCTGAACCAACCCACCTCTGCATGAAATATGTATTTCATTTCTTGATTTCAATGTGTTTGAAGGCATCCTTAACCAGGTTGCCTCTGCAGATACATGCGCTTATGTGTGTGGAGCACCACCATGTGGTCAGACAGGGAATGAAGATTGTATTTTTTTTTAACCTCTTTCAACAAATCCTCAACAACGAGACAACAATATTAATAATATATACATATATAAAAAAAGGACCACACACACATCTAAAATATTATCCGGACGTAAGCATAAAATTTTATTTGCAAAAAACCAACAAATCAAAATAAAAGTACAATACATTCTTAAAACCTTTTCTCTACAAAACAATTTCACAGAAATTACCTTGGAATGTATATTCCTTTTTTCATTTAGTTTCTTATATATATAGTCTTATATTTAATGTGTTTGCTGTATTTTTAAATAGTCCCATGTCAGTGTTAAATGGTGTACAGTATAGACCTTTTTTGTAGAGGCAAAAAAGGATCTTGGAGGGCATTTTGACAATCATGTAGTCAATAACAGATCATTAGCTCTCATCCCTGTATACGTCCAGCCTAGAGCCCTCCAGCCACTCCCCGTCAATATAAGTACCATGTTGCATAAACAGAGGCATTAGGAGCCCCGGCCTCCAGCCAAAATAATGGGAGCAGGTGGGGTCCTGCTTGACTGCAGCTGCCACTGAGTCTCCATCACACCCTCTGTTCCCACTCAGTAGTCATTCTTAACATTTCTCCCTCCATGTCGGTCTCACCAGCAGTAGCCGAGCACTTCACATCATCAAGAACCTCCACTCTACCCATATCTAGCCTTCTTTACTTTAACATCATACAACAAACACACTGACACGTCTGTAATTCATTAAATACAACCATATGTCCCTCTTTTTTGTACAGTGTATCTAAATTTACAGTGACATTACAGCTTGCTGATAAATAACGTACTCCTGTCTGTCCCTGCCCTCTTCAGTCACGAGAGTAGCTTAAAAACTGCCTGCAGCCAAACCCTGATAAAGGCACACATTTGTGAAACAGCCATGCCTTGCCACATTGTGTCCGACACATGAACTGGCCTCCCTTCTGTTAGAGCTTAATACAAGCTTAAGAGAAGAGCGTCAGTGTTTTCAATAGCTAAGCATTCCCTGTCTCTGTGGGTGTATTAATATGAGGAATAAAGGTTTCATCCCTCAAATCCAATATTTGAAATGCAACACTCAGCTCAGGAAGTGTTTAAACAATAACAGCAAATCAAACGTCAGAAAGCTTTCCGTTGTCCTCTGCTCTCCTTCTGTTCCAGTTGACGGTATTTGAAGCGAACGGACGATATCATCAGTAGAGTTTAAAGGTGTGATCACAGATTCAGTGTTTTGGAACAGAAAATAGCACCCCCGAATATTAGTGCATTCTTACTCAGTCATTGAAAACCCCCTTTTTAAATAACTACCAGCAGAACAAATTTAATAAAACAAAATGAATCAAGTCGTAACCAATAGCGAGCATTAATATGAACGCAGTAAACTGACATTACATAAACACACACAGTAGCGCGACACTGAAAAGGAAATAAATTGAAAATAAAAGCGACACAGAAGGAGAGAGAGGGACAGAAAGAGATATAAATATGACGTATCTGTTTTGAAAAACAAAAAAACAAAAAAACAAACGGGGCTATTTTTGTCTGATTAGAAAACTTTCATAATATCAGTTATAAGGAGAAGTTCAGCACCTCAGTCGTTCTGGTAAATGATATCCAACAGGTAGTAATTGATGTCTTTAGAAATACTGCTTTTTTTTTTACCAAACACAAGAGATCCTCTACTCGAGCTACGCCACCATGTCTGAAAACTATCTGGATAACATTTTTGACACACATTCTATTAGGCTCCCACGTGAGAGCGTGTTAGAAAAAAGATCTTAGGTTGTCTTCACATCTCCTTGTTAGAAAAAAGGTGCTTCCTGTCGTCATAAGCACACACACACACGCATACACGCACGCACACAGCGGCAACATACCCACGCACACTTATATATATATATATATATTTACACATACCCACACATACAAACTCTCACACACACACTCACAAAAACAGCTGCTTTCCAGTCTGTCTGAAAACATTGCACCAAAAAGGACAGAGAGAAGGAGAAACAAAAAAAATAACTCTCTTCTCTCTGTACAGTAGTTCAGTCAGTGAGGCAAAGTGATGACTCAGGTCTATCTGTGTAAAGAGAAACACCTCCAAATTTGTTTTTGTTTTGTTTTTGGATTTGGACTCCCGTTTCCTCGTACAGACAAACACACAACAGGGCCCGATGGCGAAACACAGGTGTCCCTGAAAGGAGCCTGTTTGGAGAGAAAAAAGGCAGAGTTCAGGCAGTGAGTGAGCTCCTACAGGTCTCTCCCTCACACACACAGTGGATCTGCAGGTAGGTTTTTTTTTTTTTGTTGTTGAGGATCCTCCCACCAACAGGGGGACGCTATCCTTTAGGAGTTTTCTTGTTCTGGGCATTCCACATGCCTCTTTTGGAGTGGTAGTAGTGAAAGAAGTTCCTCAAGCGTAGTCTCTCTACTTCCAAACCATTCTGTAGAACCCTAGAGAGAGAAAAAATCTAGTTTTTTATTTGGGCAATTTCTAGATAAATGGATAGTTTTGGTTTTATTCCAGACAGTGTGTGGAGTTTGCCAGGTCAGAGAATTCAAAATGAAAATCTTTTTTAATAATACCTGTCCAGAAGCTCCCAGTCTTCTCCGCCCCAGCGATCTTTAAACTCCTCTGTGTTCATCCCGCCGATCTTATCAAAATCGGACTTGTAGATTCCAAACAGGCCAAAACCGTTTACTTCCCAGTAACCTGAGAAAACCAAAAAAAAAAGAAAAAAAAAAAAAGAAAAAAGAGAGAACTTTGAGCCTCGTTTCACCATGTTGCATCAGCATTATGATAAAAAGAGAGCCTGATGCCTCCACAAGTATGTGCTTCTAATGCTAGTGTAGTTATGATATATGTAAATAGAAAACCTGCGCCATGAATTCAAAGTAGATGTCTGAGTCAAACCAAAAACTTTGTTCAAAGTTAAAACGGAAAAAAAAAAAAACTATGTTAATATGAGTACAGATGTGTGTGTGTGTGTTACCGTCAGGCTCCTGTGGTGAACTCCCACAGCTGAGTCTCATGACAATGGGAGCAAAAGCGAGACGTCCTTCCACACAGTGCTTCCTGATGCTTTCCAAGATGTTGAGGGGGAAGTGGATGTGCAAATCACACAGGAACACGATGCTGTGACTGTCCTGTGGAGAAAATGCAAACAAACTCTCAGGTGCAGCTTCATTGATCTAAACAATCTCTAAATCTTTCCTTTGTCTGAGGAAAAGAAAATGTGGTGCAAGCATGTGCGAGTGCAAGTTGGATGTTCGCATGTGCCCAAAGTGGGATTTTAGGATTAAAGAGAGCGGAGAAGTCTGGGCTCAGCATTAGCTGTGGCTTGTCTTCACTTCAAGAGCCCGTGGGTCATTTAGACGTGAGTGACAGCCCTGTCATCCCATTGTGACAGCACTGACACTCAACTGACGGATCAACGTCTGTCCAAATTTCCAGCTGCTCCGAGCTCCCGTAGGTGGGTGTGCACGCGGGTGTGACGGAGAGACAGGCGGAGAATGGCGTAAGGGCACATGCACAAAAATAACCTGTGAAAGGGACTGGATGTGACAGCTATGGCGTACGAGTGACAGAAGAAATGCATCTATCCGTCTAAGCATCTCCCCGTCATCCACATCTGGGTTCTGGGGGACAGGCTCGGAGATAAAGGCTAGCGGTGATGTATTCATTATGCATGAGTGTTCTTTCTGTCTGTCCATCAGCCAGTGAAAGGTCATGTGGTCAGTGTGAGCGTCTGACCTTCAGTGAGTGGCTTTATTTCCTGCCAGCTCACATATTGTTGTCTTCCGTCTGTGTGTGTGTGTGTGTGTGTTTGCGTTGCTAACCTCAATAGTGTCCACTCCAATCTGCAGTCCTGCTGAGCGCTCAAAGTTCCCTTCTCTCCTAAGATACTCGTATCTGTCCACACAAACAGAAACCTAAAATCACATGGCAGCCTTTAAAGAAATGTCATATCACAATGCCGCTGGAGTCGCGTGCACACACCTCGGCACGCTGCTCTCCCTGAGCGCCTGCTCCACGTCCATGTCTTCGCTCTCAAAGTCGACGATGATGATGCTGAAATTGTCGTCCTTTGTCTGCCGGTGAAGATTCTCCATGTCAGAGATAAACTGCTGCACCCAGCGAGCCTGGTTTTTCACTGTGGACGGTGGCAAGTTGGGAAAACAAAAATTAAAAGAATGAAAGAAACAACAATCCCCTTCATGATGCATTCCTGCTGCATCTTCTATGGATGACTGACCTGGCACCACAAAGTGCACCATGACATCCCTCCTCCACTGCAGCATGACCGGCTGGCAGAGCAGAGGCTTAGCGTAGGCAGTGCTCCAGGGCGTCGCTCCCGGCCGGACGGGGGACCTCGTAGAAGGAGGCGGCGGCGGCGTGGTGACGCTGGGCGTGGCGGAGGAAGGCGCCGACGCCGGTGCCGAGGCTGGGGCAGAGTCAGTGTTCTCCAGACTTTCCTCTCCTTGCCTGCCGCGGTGAAGCAGCAGGTAAATGTATTCTGACAGACGCACCACGCTGCGGCCCCTCTCCATTAGCTCCAGCTCCACGAGGTAGCGGTTCCCTCTCGCCGAGTCGCGCCGCTTCTCCACATTGATGATTCGCAGCAGGGTGTAGATCCTGGGGCAGAGATAAAGAACATCTTGTGAAAACAGAGACGGGCTTCAAGTACAAAACAGCGTTTCTTGCATCATTCTCACAACTGTGTTAATTATCGTTTGTGCATCGGTACAACGCTTCAAAAAAAAATAAAAAATGGAGGCAAAGAAGAAAAGGGGCACAACGAAAACAGAGAGAAGCCACCTCACGCAAGCAACATCAAGGTTTATAAGCACTACAGCGGAAAATGGTAATCAGCACACTGAGGTCTGCTAACAAGACGTCAAAGCACCGGGGCATGACCAACATGCTCTGAGTAAAATTGCTTTGATCTTCACATTATGGTTAACATAAAAACCACATTTGAACTTACAAGGCTGCAGGGAAACAGAAGCCCCCTTTGTCTCATGATATTCTCACTGTCTCGGCTTCACACTCACCCTCCGTTGCGTTCGTTGAGCTTCTCCATGTACTGCGCCAGCACGTCCACCACCTCGCTCTCCGCCAGCTGCAGGTTGCCAGACACGTTGCAGCGCAGGTCATTCCAGTCAGAGCGCAGCAGCTCAAAGTCCATCGGATTGACCGAGAAAGTCCTCTGCCAGTTGATGCTCTCCTCTGCCCAGCCCGGCCGAGCCTCGACCTCCTCGTAGCTGTAGTCCGACAGTTCGCCCTCCTCCGGTTCCGGCTCGGGATCGGGGTCGGGGCTAGAGCGGTTTGTATCTCGGTCGATGTCGGCCAGGTTGGGTTCTGGGTCTGGCTGCTGCTGGGACTCTGTAATCTCTGAGGTCCTGAGGTAAGACGTGACCCTTGACTGACCTTGGATTGTATTTTCGGTGGAGTTTGCCCTTGGTGGGGTAACCGGAGAAGGAGGGGGTTCTTGGTGATTGGACAGGCGGATCAGGAGGTCTCCTCTCCTGGACACATCTGTCGTGACGGTAGTCTTTAAATCCCGGTGCTCGCCTTTCCTCTTGCTTTTCTCTGGTTGTTTTGCCCCTGTTGCCTTGCTTGAAGACTTATGTACACTCTCATTCTGTAGGTTGATGCTTCCATTGTGAGGAGACGCCTTACCTTCTTTTGTAGGAGGGTTGGGCCAGAGCTGAGGGGCACTTATCAGGCTCCTACCTCCTGTTACACCTCCTCCACCATGTCCTTTGGCACCCAGGTTGACCAGCCTTGTGGTCTTCCCAGTTTGGTACAAAAACACACCTGGAAAAACCTCCCTGGGGTGGCGAGACATCCTCTCCTCCCTCCTCTCTCGTCGCTGCTCCCTCTCCCTCTCCTTCTCTCGCTCCTTGGCGGGCCTCGGTCTGGTGATGTAGATCTTGTTCTCTTCTTTCTTCTCTTTCTTGTTTCCAGGAAGCTTGTTGCTATCGTGGAGGTTGTTGCTGTGGGCGGAGTTGCTGAGGATCTGCCTGGCCCGGCTGGCGAGGGCAGAGAGGGAGGACTTCTGGGGGAAAAGAAGTGAAGACTTGCTCAGCTTGGGCCGGGTTTCACCTCCTTTCTCCACTCCTGCACCACCTGTTCCCCCGCTTTTCCTGACAGGCTCCAGCTCTGCAGGATCAGAGTGGATCCAGGAAAGAGAGCGACCCCGGACCACAGTGTCCATATCGGGCTGATGAGCCCTGGGTTGGGCCTCCTTAACGCCCATCCTGGGGTCCTGTCTTACACTCCCCTTGGTGTGATCTCTTCCCCAGTCTCTGTCCAAATCCCTACCCATCTGTCGGTCGCCGTGAGGAAAGTGTCTCCTTTCTCTGCGGTGTATGATGCTATCGACTGCTCCTTCCTCTTCTTCGTTGGGGTCTTCCTCCTCTTCCTCCTCCTCTCTGCCGGCTTGCGTGGGCCCCGGCTTTGAGTGCTGATGGGACGGGTTTGAGGTGTGGCTGGTCTGGCTGGGATGAGATGGCTTTCTGGGCGGCTGCGTGCCAATGATCTCTGCTTCGTCCTCCGTATCGACCACCTCCTCTTCCTCGAGGAAGTCTGGAGACATGAAGGAGACTACGAGTTGAATGAGCGTACATACATATGTGTATATTTATTAATGTGTGTGTCTGGGTGCATGCGTGAGTGTGTGTTTGCTCATTATCAGTTACCATCTGGGTTGGGGAAGAAGAATGGTCTGTCATCTTCTTCCTCATCCATCTTCATATATTTGTAGAAACCAAACCTGGCAGACAAACAAGAGGCAACGCGCACACACACACACACACACACGAGACCACATGTATTAGCAGCAGGTTGAAGTTTCAATGTGCCTCGCGGCATAATAAACTTAATCTGTTAGCGAGAGGTCGCGCGCATGAATCACCGCCATCAAATTCACAGACACTTGGCCACTTATTCTGCATAATCAGTGCACTCGCTCATATATACAAGACAGAGACAAATGCTCGCTCGGCTCTCGGAGAGATAAACGAAATAGTGCCCTTACTTCTCCAAGTAGATCGGGGACTCTCTGTAGAAGCACTTGTTCTCTCGCTCCATGTGGGTGAGACGTGTGAAGTCGTTGGGGTAGACGAAAGACAGATAGACCTGGAAAATGGGCAAATGTCAGTCAACCCCTTCAACATAAGGATGCATTTTGCTACCTTTCAAATCTAACATGAACTTGCTGTGTAACTTCATTCGCAGCAGCTGCAGTAACTTGTGTTGCCCTAAAGGGGGGAGCAGCGCTCAACGCTACCTACAACCTTCTTCCTCTAAGCTTTGTTGGATACAAAGGGAAGGATGCAGTGGTAACCAGCATGGATTCGGCTTCTCTGTTTTCCGTCCACTTGATCTGAATATTGCTCTGTAATGAGCTACTTTTCAGCGGGTTAAAAGGGATGCATTTCTAACCACCCTGCAGGGTTCGCTGCAAGCAAGAGCGGGCAATTAAAATGCACACCGCAAACTGATTCAGAGAAAAACATCATTCTTTTGTGACCGGGAGGGAAGGTTACTTACAAACTGCAGGCCCTGGTATCTGGCGATGGGAAAATCTTTGACCACGTAGGTTGGAGAGTAGAGACAGGCCGGGAGAACGTTTTCCATGCGAGAGGGGTCAATCATCGGCGCTGAGGAGAGAGAGACGGACAGAGGAGGAGGTAAATATTTGACACCTCGGCCAAACAAATATGTGTATTGGATTCCGTCTTAAACAAACACAGGAGTCAGAAAGGTGAGAGATGATCGAGGCAATGACAGACAAAGAGGAGGGAAAACACACCAGAAATGGAGCACAGCCAGCCAGACCAAATGACATGTCTGAATACAGATAAAATGTCAGCTGCAGAGACTGTGAGCCAGACAGTCTATCAGGCATTTAACCAGGATGAGGAGAAAAAAAAAAAAAGGGGGGAGAGCACGAAATGAGGAGTGGCAGATTTACTGCTGTAGAAGGTGTCCCTGGGATCCGGCTTCAGCATATCGGCTCCATGCAGCACGACGCTGCCTCCCTCCAGACCCTGGGGCTGAGACTCCTCCGGGAGACGGATGTGACTGGCCAAGGTCTGTGGGATGTGGTCCACGCTGTTCATCTTCAGATTGGACTCATCTGAAATGGCAAAAAAAAATTGTGATAGAGAGGTACAGAGCTAAAAGCAGACATGGTGTAAAAGAGGAAGAAAGGAAGATCCATCGGGCGCATTTACTGTTTTGATGCTCTCAGCCGACAAATTTGATGTTTACCGTGTGAAAGAGAAAATGTTATCTGCGCTGCAATCATCATAAATCTTTACCGTCTATGAAAAGGACGGGTAGGGAAAAAAGCGAGGCGAGAGGAGCGGCAGAGGGGAAGGAAGGAAAGAAAGGAAGCGGCGGAAGAGGAGGAGAACGGTAACAAAAGCTGAAGAGCGGCTGAAAAAAAAAAAAGTTGGAAGTAAACAAAAACAGAACAGAGCAGAGTCATAATTATACCAATCGATAGCGGCGAAGGAGGGGAGAGCACGTGTGATTAATGGCATGTCAGGAGCAAGGCCTGACGGGAGAAATGCTTTATAATTAACAGGGTGGTCAGCATCATTTTTACCCTCCAGAGGGTGGAGCGTGCACGGTCGGTGTGTGTGTGTGTGTGTGTGTGTGTGTGCATCTCAGCATTTTCAAACTTCCTATTTTCTAACAATGAGACATCTGTTGATCACATTCCCGGTTTCCACTCCACACGGGCCTCGCCAAGATGAACCGATTATCTACATGACCGAGATCCTCAAAACAAGGCCACGGTCACACAAAACAATGGAGCTGTACCGTCTCATTCTGCATCATGTTTCGCATATTATACATCCGAGTTAGCATAGAAACTACAGCGGGAATTTACGCACAGCACGGATATTGAGCCGGAGCCTCCCCCGCGGGGTAATACCACACCAACGTGGATACTGTTTATTGTTTTGTGCTTATTTGTATTCCCTTGTCTGTGCAGTAAATGTCAGAGTTTATGCGGCTGCGATTGTGTAACGTCGCACATTAACTGCTGCCATCGAGGTTTATGTATTTTCACTGGTAAACAGAGGGAAAACAATAAAATGTATGGGAGTGTTATGCTAATACAGAACTGTATTTGGCTCGCACTCGTGAGATTTTGCTTCAAAAACTGGAGTAAACTGTCCTGTCAATACAGTGACAATTAGGCTGATAATAATGGTAAATAATACTAGCAGAAAGAAAAGCATCCACATGAGCATTCTGTAAGTTTGGCACTAAGCTTAGTTTGGGATCACTTCCCGGGCTAACAAACGTCAAAATATCTGTGGATTCACAGTCTCTGTACGACATGACACTGGTTGCTGAGCATCTCTTAGCCTCCAGCTACAAGCCTGCAAAGGGCAAGTGCACGGAGCATGGGCACGATTTCACCGCCAAGAAACGATGTGCTTCTTATTACAGCAAAAAAAACACACAACAACGTTAACTAAAAAGCCTATCAGACACCTAATTAAACCCGGCGAGAACAAGTGTTGAGGAGTACGCGACCTAATGTTTTTCTCAAACGGGGATGAATATCGAGTACTTTCCAGAGTGAGAGAATGGAGAAAACTAGCGAGGGGGGAAAAAAAAAAGAGCGTGACATAAAGGGAGGGGACGAATGGGTGGAGTGATGAGGAGATGATGACCTCATATACTGTACGGGCCCTCATTCTTCTCTGACATAACTTGTCATAAACAAGAAGGCAGGATTTGGCATACATCCACACAACGCCCAAGACGACAAGTCCACACATCATTTTCTGTGCAGCAGGCGTTCTCTCTCTCTCCCCCCCAACCGCTAACGATACTGAATCCTTGTGACACATTACTATTCTCGGAGCTATAGAGGTTAGACGTCTACTCGGGAGCTAGTGTTCTCATCTTCGCTATGAGTGACACCTATAGATAAAAATAGAGCATCTATTAGATTCTGTATCCTCTCTTTGGCCCCGCATTGGGAAGATTTGCTGTGTGACATCTGCAAGAAAGCCCCGTGCCCTATGAATAAAAGAAAAGAAAAGAAAAGAAAAGGGAAGGAAAATGCCAATTTTTAAGCCTTTTCTCAAGATCTATACAATTTTTTGAGGGACACAATAGAAGCAGAAAACAAAGTGGGCTGACATTAGATTACAGATAGCCTGGTGGAGATTTTTTCTGAGCACCACATTGATTAAATTATTCTACATTTGAGAATCCTCCACCCACTTAAAGGCTTATTGTACTTTACGAAGAACCCGAGTTGGTCTTGAACTAAACGTTGTCCCAAAATGCATTAACTCAAATCCAATTCTTTACCAAAGAGCTTCATAAGCCTCCCCCCCCCAAAGGTTTGATTATCACCTGATTCTCACCTCCTGTCACGAGCCGCATCACTGTGATCGGCCTCGCGGGCTTCGGTTCCACTCTAACCCCCACAGAAAATTAGTTTTAGGTGCCTCTCCAACACTGTGGCCTGGAAAATGACATCTTGCGAGCTTAATGGCACCTAGAGGGCTTCCAGAACAATCCTACCAAAGCTGTCGATTTTCAACCCTCTGATTGCTTACCGTTATTTAATTTAGCTCATGTGATTATATATGTGTGCGTGCCCATTAAATATACGTAAACACAGGGTTCAAGTGGCTTAAATGGTCGTATTTTTCTGATAATACAAACCAGATTAGACCAACAAAGCTGTTAAGTTCCCAGCTAGACAAGAAACTTACACAGAAACCTCAAAAAACCATTCCATTTAAAAGAAACCTACCCCTAAATTCAGTTTATTTCCATGGCAAGATGACAGCAAAGCTTTCCATGCAACGTACCAGCAGGGATGAGTAGTTCTTACCTGTGTACAGAGAGATGTAGGCCGAGTCGATCACTTCATATTTCAGACCGGGAAGGAAGGGACGCCACTGTGGGTGAGGAAGAGAGAGAAAAAAGAAAAAAGGGATTGAATGAGAAGAGAAAACTAAATGCCAACATGTGGAAAGTGTAAGCCGAGCAGAAATCGTCCATCACTCTTTGCCGGCTAAACTGTGACACTCTCTGTGTTATTGATCTCAGCGACATCACAGGATCGATCTGATGCTGGGTTTTTGTATAAACACACTTACCCGGAGAGAGAGAGAGAGAAAAGAGGAAGCACAATGGCCAACGTGGAACATGAACAGAACAAGAAATGCGACGCCATGAGGCAAACAAGAGAGAGAGAGAGAAAAAAAAAAAGGGAAAATAGACTGTGAACAATGCCAGAACAGGGCCGCATGAATAGGACGGTGACGGGTAGGTGTAGAAAAATAAGATCTAAGTAATGACCTGAAAGCAGAGAAACGTCAAGAGAGAAATAAAGAGAGAGAGCGAGCGAGAGCGAGGGAGAGAAACAAGCTGCAATTCTTTTAAATAGATTTCACAATTACCTCGTCACTTCTGGTTACTCAGGATATAATCACAGGAGACAGGTCATTTTCCAACCCTCGGCTTGAGAATACAAATATAAACACCCTCCTCAGGCTCATGCAAATGTGTGTACGCACACGTGTACGCATAACAAACAAACACGCCGCTTTTGGATTCTCTGGCATTTTGTCATAAACGCAGCCCAGACTGTGGCGTCAATTTCTGACACAGAAGAAGAAGAAGCCACTTGTTTTCTGCCATATCTATAGTGCGCTCCCTGTGATTCGCACCCATGCTGGTTCACTGATACAGCAGCGCACATTCCCACAGAAGTGCACATATATATAAGAACAACAACAAACAAGGACACAGCGTAGCGCCGTGCTGAGCGGCAGCAGCAGGGAGCAGCTCCACAGGCCACCAAAGGCTTCGGTGCTGTGCCGTTATTTCAGGGTGATCGTCATCAAGGTCAAAACCAGAAGGCGTCTGTCACGGACAAACTCGAGGAAAAAAAAGTCGAGTTGCAGTTTAAAAGGTTCACCTGAATGAAGCTGTAGTGTAATGTCTCGACATCAGTGGTGGCAGTGTTGCACAGACAATAGCAGGACACCAGATAAAAGAAATCCAACATTCATTTTAATATCGACACTCGTGCTTGTGTGTGAAAACGATTTCTGTGAAAAAAAAAGTCTAACACCCTTCGGCAGTTTCCAAGCTCCCACAGGAAGGGGTGAGGACGCAGGAAGCAGGCAAGCCTTTCCACTGATCCTCTGAGATGTTACTCGGAGCAGAAGGATACTAGAAAACCACAAGTGAGCCCTCATCAAGAACTTCACTTGGATTTTATACAACAACAAAATCTTGAACTTGGGAAAAAAAAAAACACACAGAAAAGTCCATCTCAGTTTCTACTTTCTAGCCTTTTTGATCACGTATCTCCTCCACATCTCTTTATTGCAGCACCGTTTTTGTTCCACTGTGGCTTCAGCCGTAATTGGTTCGCTGTATTTCTGCAATGTAAAATGAAAAAAAAAAAAAAAAAAGGACATGTCTCTGCAAAGAAATGCTGCTTAAGATGGCTCAGCTTTACAGCTCAGAGCCGCAAGCCGGGAATGTTTTTGTTAAATTTCAAATGAGAGCTGATGTGAAAATTTTCTCTTGTTCGTCGTCTGGCCTCGTGTATTTTGTGATGAATTTCCTCCTACCTGGTGTGTGATATATGCATGCACACACACACACACACACACACAGTCTGGGTATTTTTTTTGTGTGAGCGCGCTCAGTACGAGTGTAGCTCCTGAACAACTGTGTGGACAGGAAGCTGCAGGAAGGAGCAGAGGCTTGCTCACTGGCCCTACAAGTTCACCAGAGAGGGAAAAAAAAATCAATATCCAAGGGGAAATAATAAAAAGTACCAATTTCAGAGCAAAATGACAATAGGCAGCCAGCAGTGTTGTTTCATCAGGCCTGGACCGCCCACTGACTTATGAAGGTTTGATATCGTTTTCAATCAAATGACCGAAAGTGGGTCCCGCTCATTGTGTGTGTGGTTTGATACCCATCAGAGTAACACACACACTGTTCGTTCATTCCAGCTCCAACACACACACACACACAGGTAGTTTGCCTCTGGTTCCATCAGGCATCGGTTATTTTTTATCCCTCGATGATTAGGAGTTTATTGCTTCTGAGAGAGCAGACTGCTGGCTGCTGTGTTTGTTTCCTCTAATTCAATCGGTTTCTCCGAAGCCTGAGGCGCAATGGATATAAAGTTGTTTTGTTAATGTGACACATAAGGGGTAATAACATAATGAAACCATCTAACCTTTCCAAGTATACGTAAAAATCGTTTGAGATTTAAGGTCAAATAAGATTAGCAGAAAGTAAACACTTCCATTTATTGGACGACGGCCCCGTTTAGAATTTTTTCCTGGAAATAAACATTTTCATTCTTTTTTTTTTTTCCGGTCGGTGTCGTCTCACCGGTTGTGCTGCAGTCTTTGCAGGCTGTCCAGCTGTTATCCGTGTCCGTTGGTTCCAGAGAGGACAGAGCGCTTCGCTGTGTGCTTTCTATCTATTTTCTCTCTCTCGCTCTGTGTCTTACTCCCACACACCTGGCTTTAGGCCCAAAGTGGTGCGGTGGTAAACAGAAAGAAAATCACCGGCAGGGTGGACAGCAGAACAAGACAGATGTTAACAAGTCTGACGACATTCGCCTCGGGGGGGAAAAGGTAAGAAGAGACCAGGACTACGCTGCTCTTATGTATGTTTTTTCACCTTTATTTATACAGGGTAGTTTGGATGTGACTGTATGATCATTAACAATAAAATCCTGTGTTTGTTTTTCTTTAAGGACTGGAGAACCTGGAAAACTGACTAAATTACCAAATGAGACATACAGTCGTGAACAGTTTACCTGTGATGTATGTTGTGGCAGTCTTGAGTTCCCAAAGACTCCTATAACACTGAATTTTGTATGCTGGCATCATCAAAACCTCTCAGTCACAACCATTATTTAGCTTTTTTTCCCCATAGATTACAGGTTTTCTGGAAATATTCCAAAATCGACTGGGTCAAAAATATACATACAGTAACTCCAATACTTGGTTAAATGTCCTCAGACCATTTCAACCTGAATTAAGTGCTTTTGGTAGCCGTCCACCAGCTTTAGGTTGCTCACTCCTCTTGACAGTACAGTTTAGCTAAATTTGTTGGCTTTCTGACATAGACTTATTTAAATCAGAACTTTGGGGAGACCAGTCTAAAACCTTAATTTTAGCCCGATTTAGCCATTTCTTACCACCTTTGATGTGTGTTTGGTGTCGTTGTCTTGTTGGAACACCTAAAACCCAACCTTCTGGCTGATGATGTCAAGTTTTCCTGAAGAATGTGGAGGTAAGCCTCCTTCTTCATGATCGATTTACTTCACGTAGAGCAGGGATCTCCAACTCCGGTCCTCGTGAGCTACTGTCCTGCAGGTTTTAGACGTTTCTGGACTGCAACACACCTGACTCCAATTAATGGATCTCCAACAGCTTGTTGTCAAGTTCTATACAAGTCTGTTAATGATCCATTAATTAGAGTCAGCTGTGTTGCAGCACGGAAACATCTAAAACCTGCAGGACAGTGGCTCATGACGACCGGAGTTGGAGATCCCTGATGTAGAGCACCAGATCCACTGGTACCAAAACAGGCCCAGAGCATGATGCTACCACCACCATGCCTGACGACAGGTTTGGTGTTCTTGGGATTAAGGGCCTCACCTTCTCTCCTCCAAACATATTTCTGGTCAATGTGGCCAAACAGCTAAACTTTTACTTTCCCCCTGACCAGGCAACTTTTCTCCAGAAGGCATTTTTTCTTTGTCCGTGTGATCAGCAGCAAACTTCAGTTGAACCTTACGTCTTTAAAAATTTACATCTTGAATAAGCTTGAAGCTGAGTGGCACAGCCAGAGAAGGCACGCTCAGGAGATTGAATAATGCATTATTGAGTTTGGTCTCTTTATTGGACTTCTGGACAATAAGGAAAACACTGAACATGCTAGCCTTATAGTTCAGAAATATGCAGCGTGTGAACTGATCTAGAACGGTAGACACGGATAGACATGTGATAGATTGATTTCAGTTGTCCAAGTTAAATAGATAAATTAAGAAATTGATCAGGGCTAGATCAGGCATGGAGGAGCAGTAATATGATCTCAGGTGAGCTTGTGCATTCTGTCTTTTGTTCAAGACCCCATCCAGTACAAAATCTAGCTTTTAACCTCGTTAGCATGTCCATATGGTGTTTATTACATGCTAGAAGGCACATCATGAGCGGTGGGCTTCTTCGATCCACACACTGTGAAGCCAGAGCCAGTGTGGAGTTACACTTAAATCATTTTCAGGCAGGAAGGGATTATTTTCATGGAGAGAAACTTCTCTAACCGTAACTTTGATGCACGGAGATAAGTTTTTAGGGCTATAATCAATAACTGGAGAGGGACTTCAGCTGCTTGCCGTCATAATTTAGTCAAGAGCGGATGGAGAAAAAAAGACGAACATAAAAAAAAAAACTCTGAAGTCATGAAAAAGGCTTTGGGGATTCAAGTCGAGACCTTTACGGCGTCTGACGGATGCTGCTCAGTTTTGACAGCATTCGTCGGCGCGCTGCGTCCTTCTCAGGTACGCCACGTGATCGGGATTCATCTCGAAAATGAGACTCTTTGTCAGACAGCTCGTAGTGGTAGACACAACTCTCGCTCTATTGCCAGGACAACTGCTAAAGCCTTGCAAACCGTGTGCGCTCACTCATTATCGGTTTGAATAAAACACAGAACACAGGTGCTCTCGCTGACCTGCCTCCGTGTCCCCGTTGCCAGACAACTGTTCGGCCATGGCAACCGCCGAGAATGACACGTCGCTAATAAGCCAAGAATTATGCCTCGGGGCGCGAAGAAGGCGACGTGGCAGTTAACAAGCTAATGAGAGCGCATGTTAATAACCTTTGAGTGTTTGTCTCTTTGAATAAGTGTT